TAAATTCTACATCGGGAATTAAAAAAAAATCCGCATTTTTAAAGATAAATGCTTAAATTTTTAAGAGCAAACGGAATGGCATACAAGGTCATGTCATATGGCATACATATGTACAAGGTCATGTCATAAAAGAAAATCTTTATTTTTTCATAATGATGATGCATATTTTGTATCATTTTATCGATCCTTAATAATTTAGTAATCCATCCTATGCACAGTTACATCTGTACATAGGTATACAAGTACATAAAATTGTAACAGATTCTCGTGACCTTCCAGGTCAATATAAGGAATTATTTATTCTAAATTGGACCAAAAATAGATAGGGAAATTCCAAATTGATGCAAATAGTTTTGGAAAGTTATTTCACTTGCACCTGACTTCCACTCATATGAACATAACATTAAGGCACACAGATTATTGGGTGAGGGGTTGGGGTGGGGGGTTGCAGGTGGCCTACCCCTCTCCCCACCTTTTGAGAAAGTAAAGTTTTAATTTAAATTTTAAGGATGAAAAATTTTAATGAAAGTCCCCCTCTCCCCTCGTTTATGGACCTTTTTTACATCCCACCAAATAAAATTTTGAGTTGGGAGAACGCAGCTCTGTAAAGGCTGCATAAAGAGGGCTGGGCATAATTTATTCGGGAAAAGTTTACTGTGACATCACACAAATATAGCAATTCCTCACAATAACAGAAAATGAAATAATTTGCTAATCTAAACTGCATAAGAGTAATGAACTACATCAAAACTTACCACTGCATTCATTTTTGTCGCTAGTTAAATCCCACACAGCAAGATCTAAACAAGTCACCGATCGCAATGCACTTGTCGACATGACGTCATCATGGTAAAATTGGACGCATTTTATGTGCAGTGAGAGGCGGATCAAGTAATTTTTTCACAGTGAAAAATGCATTTTATTATTAAACAGAATATTATTTGCAAATCTTAGGTAGACCATTAATACAAATCTGAAACTTTTGTTTAGTGTCATTATTTTAAAACTATCGAAAGAATGTATTGAATTAATTTTACCGTGTTTTTGTCTACAGGGTGTGCATGTTTCACGCCGAGGTGCCTCATTAAATAGCCTTTTCGCAAGGGCATAAACTTAATAGATCTTGACCATTTTTTGAATATACATAACGGACACATTCCTTAACTTGAAAAGTGCTGCTGCTTTCCTGAAATCGAGAGCATTACTTAATAAATACATAAAATACTTGATAAAGGTCACAGACATAAGCCAGATAACTTGAAATTTAAACTAATAAAATGCGAATTCTATTTAAAGCAGCAGCACTTTCCATAAACTACAAGTTATGTAGGAACAATTTATTACTTAAATTTTTAATTCTAACTAGGGTATGCCCTTGCGATATTAAAAATTTGTTTTGGGGTATGGAACCCCCCCCCCCTTTTTTTCCATTTTTTTTATTTTCAAATCTGGGGTCGAGTCACCTTTTTCCTATTTTTGTATTCTAATATGCACTGTATGTTATCAATAATGTAACTCTTTTGTCTCTATAAGCTGCTTTTAAATATATCGTTTTCGACTGATACATAAAATGTATCAGTCGAAAACGATATATTTAAAAACAGCTTATAGAGACAAAAGTGTTACATTATTGATAACATACAGTGCATATTAGAATACAAAAATAGGAAAAAGGTGACTCGATCCCAGATTTAAAAAGAAAAAAAAATGGAAAAGAGGGGGGGGGGGGTCCATACCCCAAGTGCCTGTGCTACATACAGTACACATTATATGCATTTATCACGTGACTGTCAAATAACGTGACCAAACCAAATTCATTACAGAGCGGTGTATACAATGTTATTTCAAATAATATTTAAAGCCATGTGATAATAAAGTACCTTTACAAAAATAAATTCAGTTTAAAAAGGTATGTATTTATGCACGTTTATATTCCGTCGATTTCTTCGAAGTACGCCTTAACACTGCTGCGAATTCTTTTTCTTTTCTTTTTTTTTTTTTTGGGGGGGGGGGTAGTCAAAGATTTGTTTTCAGGTAAGTTGTTATTTTTTTTCCTTTTAATACCCCCTTTTTCAAAATCAATCCTATATATGTGCTTGACATTTATTTTTTCTACATTGCACCTAAACTAGAATTAAAAATTCTAGAATAATACAATGTTGTTTTTTTAACCCCGTTTCTCTCATTATGTTTGGCTAGTACTTCAGTAGATGTGAACAAGTACATTATGTAAGATGGCATGGATTGCTTAATGAATGTGTGTCATTGAATCATTGAATCATATGATAAAACAATTATTGCTTTTTTTCGGTCAATACGATGATTTAGACACCTTCGATTCGAAGTACAATATTCACATCGCCCTTCGGGCTCGGTGAATATTGTACTCCTCAGGTGTCTAAATCATCATATTGACCTCAAAAGCCAGCAATAATTGTATAATAATTATTAGTTTTCAGAACGTTAACAATTTACTGGCGAAGTTCATACTTATTTTCATGCCTTTGTTTTTATACTTTACTACGGATAACTCTTTTCTACAAGGTCCCTAAAAATTAATGTAATTTTTCATTTAAGTTATCTTACTTTTTGAAACCTATCTATTGAACTGCTGGTCAATATACTGCGATCTATTGGACCGCAACGTATTTCGGAAAAACCGATCTGGGTTTCGAATTTTTATGTAACATTGAACAGACGTCAGTGGTAAACAATAATTTGAAACAATGCTCGGCTGTTGGCCTCGGGCAATAGAACACACTGAGGCACAGCTGCTCTGTGCACCTCGGGAAAAATATTCTGGTCTATTGACTGCTCAGGCATTAAATAATTGTATAGCATAGGCGTCAAAAGCAAATTATAGCGAGGGGCTAATTGAAAGTGGGAGGGGGGGGGTTAAATCTTAATAAAAAAAAGAAGTAAGCTTCAATTTTCAATTCTAATGCCTATATTATGTATACCTTAGCAAAAAAGTGGAGGGTTAACCCCCCTACCCCCCTCCCGGTTCCGACGCCTATTTATAGTGTGGACCGAGGCACTTCCTGGTATCGAAGATGTCGAGTGTCATCCCTTTTTTTATGTACATTGAAATATGATTTTTAAAAAAAAAAAAAACTGGATTTCAGCGATTTCCGATTTTTAATATAATTAGTGAATTTAAACACTCGATACACAAAATACACTATCCCGAAACGAAGCCTCTTTTACTAGAAGCAATGTATCTCTATAATATAAGTTACTAAGCAAAATGATCGAGTGCGAGTAGTTTCTTGGTGGAAAACTTTACATTGATTAAGAACCGCTGTGTTTATGTCTTACAAAACAAATATCTGCATGGTCAGATGCTTAAGACTTGTTTGTAAGTGGCAGATCTTTCTTACCCCAACATCATGACCCAACCTTTTGTTTTAAAATAAATTTTAGAGACATTTTATGTCATTAATGATCTATTTTTTAATTAGTTTATATAACTCAATATTTAGGTATATGTGATATAATTGTGGGTCATTTATTTGTATACATATATATATAATGTTGCGGGATCAATGTACAGTACGAGTATATTGTTGTGGGATAGTATATAAGTATAAAGATATACGTATATATCCAAAAAAGTGAAAGAACATTGTTGGATATATACTGGGTTTAGGCAGTTTACGCTTTATAAACCGCGAAGTGGTCACCTTTTCAAACCATCAGGGACCATTCAATGACTGAATGGCAGAGGTTCATCCCGTGGGAGGATGAAAGCAAATACTCGAGACTATTTAGCGAGTAAAATGGTTAGAGATTGTCCTATTTTGAATTACTTGTTTTATTCAATACGTTTTTGACGTAAATTTTTTTTTGTTCCCAAATCTTTTATCTCTTTCTCTCACATAAATGTGTTAATATTATAAACACATATATAACATAAACATATCTATATATCTATATCAAGGTTCTACATGTACATGTAATGCATGTATCGGATAATTATGGGTCATTTATATGTACATATATATAGATATAGAATATTGCGGGATCAAATTACAGGCAACTATACATCATTCTGGGTCAATATATTGATATAAAGAACATCGTGGGATATGCACAGTTGTACTTGTCTATCTATAAAATGTTAAAATCACATTGATTTGATTACACTTCCCTAAAATCTTAACGCGTGATAATTTTTTTCTGAATAATCCTTGAGTTGTGAATGATTTTCTGCGACTTCATACTGACATATTTCTTTATTACTTAAACTTCACGGTTCACATCAGGGTAACGCGCCTTCTTTATAGTAACATTTTAAAGTCATTTTATCTTATAAAATGATATACTTGAAGCTTTCTTTCATATCTGAATAATTATATAGACTTTAGGAAGAACACAACTATAGAACGATTAAAACTTATAAAATTATTTAACCTTATTTTTTCTAGATTTATACAATGTAGTACATAGTACATTAAAAACAAAAGCTCATGCATGGCATGACATACATGTAAATAAATAATGCGTTACAATCTGATAATGGTTCACTACAATTAGGCTATACACTTTAGCTGTTTCCCATAATCCCTCCAATACTCATGGGGAAGTATATAAAAAATTGTGGGTCACGCGCGAAATTCTGCCAATCCACAGAGTGGTAAGATTTCATATATATATAATTGCATTGTGGGTCATTTTTTGAGTGTGTAATTATGGGTCAAAAAAATTTTTTTTTGTAAAAAATGAAAATAGTAACTATATTATTGTCATAAACAAATTTTTAGGCACATGGTTTGTGGGTCAATATATAATGACCCATAAACCATCCATGATACCCACAACGTGAGTGAAAAAGACACAAAATATCCCACAATCCGCATGGCACAAAACTATATATATATATATATATATATATATATATATATATATATATATATATATATATATATATATATATATGAACTGAATGAACATATGAATTTTACTGTTTACGTAATTTTACTTCGTATTCTTTAATTTAGCTGGACACCTTCATGACTTCAATGTTAAAGTGGGCAAGGATGTTGATCAGATGCATACTTGTGGCCACTTTACGGGTCCTGTGAGAGTTGGGGAACGCATTACAATGTGGTGTCCGACAGGCACGGTAGCCCGATATGTACAAATACAGATTGTTAAGGGATGGCATAACTATTTGTGCCTTGCAGAAGTTCTTGTTTGGGGACACTTATAACTGTTAAAGCAATAAATTGCACAATTAATGTACAACATGACATTTTTTCTTCTTATTTCCATTTGAAAGTAATAAAATGATTAATTGTAAATATATAGAATAAAAGTTGCAGAGATCGCATTGATCGAACCTTTGATGGGACAACCTTGCATTTATGAAAGATACCATAGGGTGCATACATTTCTTATATAATCATTATGGGAAATCATTGGAATTGCCAATATCACAATCTTTCGGTGTGGTTAATTTTAAAATTAAATTGAAAACAATTTACAATTCACAAGAAAATGACAAAGTATGAATATATTTTTTTAATATAAAACCAAGCTATACAAAGCATATATTTGAGGAACGTTTCTGTTGATCTTAACTTAGCAACTACATGGTAGTACAACTACATGTACATGGTAGTACTATCTTCAACTTCCCTTAGCATAAAGGGCATGTTTTATGGATATTTAATATGTCGAATTTCATCTTTTACAATAAGGCAGTAATTTATTTTGGGCCAACATGGATTCTCGCAAGAAGACATACCACACCGGCCCATGGCCTGTGGAGCTCGCATGCTCAGACTATAGCTAGTAATATTCACGTAATGTAATTGGTTCATACATGTTCTCTCGCTGCACACATCTTTTAGTTGATAAGACTATAAGAATAAAATCATATATATCGATAAAACGTACAAGACAAGTAGTAAGTCGATTTCAAGTGAAAAATTTATATGTAGGTTCAATGCACAAATCCCACTGCGGGACGTGGAGACCGGTCCTTCGATTGAGACCGTATAAACCGAGGTCCCGTGTCGCAGTAGGTGCTGAAACGAAAAAAGGTCCGTCACTGCTCTACGGCCCTGAGTGCCGAGTATATATCAAAATTTGCAGCCCTCCACCGGCAAGTGGTTGCGTCTCCATATCAGTGAAAAATTCTCGAGAGGGACGTTAAACAACATACAATCAATCAATGCACACCTGTCTAGATTACTGTACCGACATCCTGGATTTAATTTTTAACCATTACAGTATTATTTTTCCTTTTTCGTTCTTCAAAAGTCAGAAAAATCATGAAAACAATTAATCATATGTACCGAACTATCCATTATTTTATATGTATGTACTGTAATTCGGAGTGTTTAAATCATGCAGTACTTGGTTAAGGTAGAAAAAGTTGTCCATTTATAAATTTCACATTTTTGAAATTAATAAAAGTATAACTTGTTTCAGTTGTACATTCTTAACCCTACCCCTTGTGAGAAAACAATCAACCGTTTGCACAAATCATGGAAGTGTACCGTAACAGAGTTGTTTACAGAATTACGGAAAAATAGTTGTATAGGTGTATGTCAAAGTGTCTATCGAAATGTCATTAACAACTATACCTTCCCCTGGAAAATTCAAAATATATAATATAATATTTTAAGAAATATTCAGCATGTCTTCACGGTATCAAGGCTGTCATGTGAAGTAAATTCATCCCCCAAAGCCCTACATCATTTTGCCTAGTTTCAACAGCACACACAAAATATTTTTGGTCAAAATCATTAGGCATTCTGGCTTTCAAGAATTATTGGCGTTATTGTCAACCCAACCTCAAATGGACGAGTGTTGTTGTTAACTTGTATAATTCTTGTGGCGCAATTAGCGCATTCACTTTTATTTTAAACACTGATAAATCGAATTTTAACATAGAAATTCCCTGGATATGTTCATGGGATATTGGACCATTGAACAATATTGTATTGATTGGAGATTGATTGATGTTGATGGGATATTGACCCTATCATTTTCATTGATAACATTGTTAATTAATGGGATATTGTCCCACTGTATCCATATTGCGTGGCGTTATGCATTCGTGAACTTTACCCAGTGCACAATTTAGCCTACTTGGCCTCGCCACTTTTGTTATTAGCTCACCTGAGTAAACTCAGGTGACCTATTGCTATCTGTTTTCGCCCGTCGTCGTGCGTCGTGTGTTAACATTTGAACATTTTCAGCTTCTTCTCTGCAACCGCTCAACCAATTTCAACCAAATTGGGTATATAGCATCTATGAGTGAAGGGAAATAAAAATTATGAATTTCATGGTCCCTGCTCCCCTCGGGCCCGAGGGGTGAGACCAAAACCACTAAAATCAATGCAATCTTTAAAAATCTTCTTCTTTACTCCTTGACATTAAGCATTCAAACAATTGGCATGATTGTAATAAGCATTGGTCAGGGGTTCTAGTCCTAGCGCGGGACTATATAGATTATATAGTGAAAGTGCACTATTTCTTTGAAAATCTTCTCCTCTGCTCCTGGGTATTAAACAAACAAACTTTATGTATAGTTATGATGAAAAAGGGTGTCTCTTCCAAAATTGTGAATTTCATGGCCCCTGGGTAAAGGGTTCCGGTGTTAGGTTGGGACTCAATTGATTATATAGTGAAAATGCATTAATTCTTTGAAAATCTCTTCTCTGCTCCTTGGTAATAAACAAACTAACTATATACATACTTATGATGAGGAAGGGTGCCTCTTCCAAAATTGTGAATTTCATGGCCCCGTGGTAAGGAGTTCTGGTGTTAAGGCGGGGTTTTATTGAATATATAGTAAAAATGCATTAATTCTTTGAAAACCTTCTCCTCTGCTCCTGGGTATTAAGCAGATGAACTAACTTCATGGTTATGATGTGCAAGAATCCTTCTTCCAGAGTTGTGAATTACAAGTCCCCTGGGTCAGGGGTACCGTAAAGGGGGGTGGGTGTTTGGGGGTGGAGGGCTCTAATGATTATATACTGAAAATGGTTAAATGTTTTGAAATCTGCTCCTTGGTATTAATCAAACATTTATGATGAGCAACTGATAAAACATAGGCCAATTCACAATTTCGAAAGAGGCACCATTGCTCATCAGAACTATACACTTAACATGCTAAGTTTGGTTTCTTAAAAACCATAGGCAGAGAAGGCGAACAAAAAATGTATTTCAGCTAATCAGTCATTCAGAACGCAGAAAACACAACATATATAATTTTTTGTAATCGAATCAATAGATGATTATTTTTAAATAAAAACATTTATGTGACATGTGTAGTGTTAACTTTACATGTCTCCCTCATTTAACCCTGTTTCTTACTTCGTTTACAATAGCCCGGTTTTTTATTTTAAACAAGCTAGAGTGTTCAATTTGTCACTTGTTACTATTTTGGATACAATGACATTGTCAGCAGATACAATCTGTCATTATGTCTAATGCTGACTTACGTAGTTCACACTAATTGTTAGGCCATTATTTACAATCTAAATTGTCTACATTTTTTTTTCGTTTCTCCCCATCACGAAAAGGAGTACACGGCGGATGTGACGGGTCGACAAGGGATGCATACTCCTCGATGGCACCTGATCCCATCTCTGATATTTTAGAGGTCCGTGTTTCCTCTGCCCTAGAATTGTATTTTTTAAATGGAATTTTTAGCATGATTACTGTTCGTTATCTTCAAAGAACTGCGAACGATAGTATTGTTCTGCCGCCTAACTCCAAGTCAAATTTCATGTTAACATATTTGAATGATTTTTCATATTTATATAGATATGAATTTTCATAAAACATAACTAATTTGGGCAAACAAAGAGGGATAACTCTTTAATTTTGGTAAAAATTGCGTGTTTCACTATAGAAATCAATAGAAAACGGAAAATATGTTTAACCCCCCCTTCCCCCCGTGAATCAAAAATTCTTTTTTATGGGTTTTATGAATTGTTATTTCACAAATTCATTCCAAAGCTTTTGTTGTTTCACGGGGGAAGGACATATGTTTATAGACAAACAAACTGCATTTATTACCAATTTCAAATGAGACTGCAAATAAAATAAAGTCTTTTATCAGTCTTTTCTGTTGAATTTTACATAAAATAAACATAAAGTTTTAAGGGTCATTTATCAATTTCCATGCGTTTTTGAAAATCTATCGATTTTTAAAACCTGATTTCAATGGGTAAAATTTTCAACCCCCCTTTTGAAAAGAGTCGTAAATGAGAGCAATTAAGTTTTTGACACTGGTTTAAGAATTATTAATCAATTAATAATGAACTCTTCTTTGTTTTCAATAGTTTTTTTGGCAAAACTGCCATTTATATTGAATTAAATGGGTGAAAAATGTAGGCGGGAATCAATAGTTAGCGTGCATGGTTCTTTCATGGGTTTGTTCCCGTTTTGCACACATTTGAATTTCAGGTATTGAAAAAATGTGTGCAAAAAAGGAATTTGTCCAGGTAAGATAAATGCGTCATTGATTTAGTCTATAACATAGTTGTGAATTTGGAGAAAAAAGAAATCTATGACAAGAATACTAAGAAAAATGAGTAATTTTGCATTAGTTTTTTTTTTCTATTTTGATTTATTTATGTAATTTCATAATAAGAGAAAAAAACTATTTCAAAACATAAAAAAATATCATAAATACTAATCAAAACTATAATTACAATGTACATTCATATGATACTGACTGGGCAAGTTAAAATTTTTTTTATTAAGATTGAATTCATTAACTCATTCAAATTATCTTCATGAAATTAAAAAAAAAAGGGGGGGGGGGGGGGGCTGCGATAACGATATTTGTCTGATTTATCAACTTCAGTTGGATCGAACAAGTTAAATTTTCAAAGTTTATTCTTTTAAATATATATTATGATGCATTGGTGAAATACAGGTAATTCCAGGTAAATCCCAAACAGAGATCAGACTATAATTGCTATCAAAACATACCTATTGTCTGATAAGAGCAATTAAGTTTTTGACACAGGTTTAAGCTATTGCTGTGCTTTGAAAGTAAAAAAAAAATGTTTTCCCTTGAAACAAATGTCAGCCCCCCCCCCCCCCCCCCCCCATGTCGGATTCTATTTTATGACGAAGGAATAAAGTGTGATGCTCTGCAACAGCAACAGCAACAGTTTCGCGCTTTCCTTTGCTTAGGAATCTCAGGTAAGTTTTACAACGCCCGTCCATCCTTGGACGAGTTCATTGGTTACTCTGA